TCTGCGGTGCCGGGCGGCTGGGACCTTGACCTGCTAACTCCGGGTGCCCTGGCCATCCCCGCCGGCTCCTTGCGGCCGGGTCCGGTTTTGGAGGCGCCCCGCGAACGCTGCCTTCTGCCCCCTCCCGTCACCCCCAGCCCCACGCTCAGCGTCCAGATTTTTCCTCCTGCGCCCTGCCAGGTCTGGGGCACGGCTTGTCCGGCCTCCAGATGATTACATGCAGTAAGTGGCTACTTGCCCAAACCATTAAGCCAGTTCTTTGCTGGAACAATTTTTGGATACTGGTGATGTAAGTGGTATCGCTGCAAGCCCGAATCAGGTTCGCTGTCTGCTGGAAGCACTCACAAGGTGCCGGGTTCTTTCTGTTTCCGAAGTTTATCCTGGTGAGAAGGGAAAGACAGCAAACAGGAGTGCCAAGCGGGGAGAGTAGGCATAAAGACTCCCTTGCTAGCACGGATGTTAAATTTGGCATTCGTGATGGCCTTTGATAGATCTGTTACGATAATCTCCCACACGAGGCTTTGGTAAGATTCAGCTGCATAATAAAGGAGGAGATTTTCACATCATCAGCAGAAGATGCTTGCTTTCTTACACAGTCTGATTCAGCAAGGCATTTATTTTTGTGAATGATTTGTGGAGTGTCCCAGGACCTAGTAGCACATCCCTTTCCTTCAGAGATACCCTAAAAAATGCACAGAGACCAGAATTGGATATATTTGTCAAGCTTTAGGGGCAATCCTATGCTATGTTGTATTTCATTTTATCTTAAGTACTGAATTTATAAATGTCCTCCCCCGTTTAGCACACAGAAGTCACAATGTGTCTATCCCAATGCAAGACACTGCATTATCCCCCATCTGCGTTGTAGGAAGTTCCCATCAAGATCTGCCTTTACACGAGTTTCCACTAAATTATTACCATGCTGACAGATCATGTTTTTACTACAGTATCATGGAAATCAGGGATGGAAATATGGAATAGATTTTCTCCTGGGGGGGGGCGGGGGAGGAAATGGGGTGAACAGGATAATTCCATAAAGAGTAATCTCTGAGGCTGTACCAAGCCAAAATTTAAGTCTAACTCCCTTCGGGATTTTACTCCATCCTCTCTATTAGATGTTGCCAAAGGAAAGCTTTCCATCCGGTAACTCCTAAGCACTCTTTTTTAAAATTTCTTCCCATCACATACAAGATTTGGACCATCCTGAGGAGCTACCTTCTCCATAGTTGAACTCTTTGACACATACAATAGGAGAGCAGGAGGAAACAAAGGGAAGGCAGTACCAGTTCCCATGTTCCGTACCAACACTGGCTTTCTTTACTCACAGCCTCGAAGTGATTCTGCACCTCAAGTCATTCTGGGACAGTCTCAGAGGGAGACAGGAGAAGGGGAGAAGACAGCGTGTTGCTCGTTGACTGGATACAGCCCAGAGGAGAAAGGCAAAGAGAAAGCTTTTGGGGTGGGGATAGTACCAGTCTGAAATAACTTACCAGTGTTTGGGGTTTCTTTGTGTATCACCACTATTTACTGATCGTTTTTTTTTAGGTAAGAATTCTAGCAGTTCCCACTCCCACCTCCAGATGAATGCTGCCTTCCATCCTTGCCTGGCACTTGATTAGATATCCCTCAGGTAGGCCTCAAGGAAAAAAGTCAAATATGGTACACAAGAGCTCTGCTATTAGTTCATTTTTAATGCTATGAAAAGTAACTAATTTCTATGCTGTTGTTTAAATGCTACCCGCTTTCAGTGACTTAGGTAATTTCTTTTGGATAGGATTACATGAACTGTTTTCTTTTGGTGGGCTTACGTCACCAAACTTAAGCAAGTGGCGTTCAGTCTATCAAGTCTTTTCATCAGAAGAGAAGAAGGTCCTGATCTAAAGCTTGTGAAGGTCAAGAAGAATCCTTACATCGCGTTCAGCCATCCCTCACTTTGGGATTCCAGAAGTAGGCCTTGGGACCTGGAGTTAAGGCCCTATGAAACACAGCTGTGCTCAGAGATAGACTTGAAGTGTTTTCAGGCTTATGGATTTGGACTGGGTATTTGCCTCACATGAGTCAATAACTGAAATCATCAGGCAAAAGACCTTCAATAAATACAGCTCAGTTTGCAAACACTTTACTTTTTGCTTTATTTTTTAAAGCATTACCAGCCTAACCTGTCA